AATTTGTGAAAGAATGACAGAACAAATTGATCTCTGAACTAGGGATGTCACTAAGAGATACATGGGGGTTGGGTGTAAAAGCTAGTGGGAAATAAGGATTACACCAATGAATTAATTTATTCCGGTTCATTACAGCCCCAATTACCAATCTTGGATGATTAAGACTATTATTCTGCCTTGGTATAGAAAGAACACCTTTACTAAAAGAATCTTGGATTGGTGCATGTAGAAAAAGTCAGGCCAAAGGGCTCTTTCTGAAGTTCCAACCCCTCAAGTGATTTTGGCTTGAAATAATAAACATACCAACTTGGCAGAATTTCAAGATAGTGCATCTTTAACTTCTTCAATATTCTGTTTTCATTATAGTTTCCAAATGAGGAGCTGGTTTGATAGTATGCTTAATGGTGGATAATTAATTTTATTCTTCTATTATCATTATTATTATAAACTCATGGATTCACACAGAGTTGATGTGTTTCAATCCATTGCAGTTCTCTTTCCTGACTGTCCCATCTTTCTCCAGTTGGGCGGGCCTCTTCAAGGTGGCTCCTGGGTGCTGTAAACCCAGCCTGGTCATCTTCAGCTCTGTCCTTGCCATCTGGTATAATAAGCCTTCCCAAGCTCCTCTTGCCCTTCTGCTGCCCCACACCTGAAATCAGCTATTGAAGCCCTGGTTCCTTTCAGTGGGAAATGGTTAGTGCCTTATTTTTTTTAATATTTATTTTTTATTATAGTTGGGCACACACCTTTATTTTAATGTGGTGCTAAGGATTGAACCCAGGGCTTTGCACGTGCTAGGCAAGCTCTCTACCACTGAGCCAAACCCCAGCCCAGTGCCTTATGTTTTAAATATGCACAAATAGCCAAAAATCATCAGATCTTTGAAAGAGGAAAAGGTAAGGGGAAAAATTAAGTAAATTAACATAAGAAAATTTGCCAAAACAGAGGGCGAATCTTCAAATTGAAAAAGTTGACTGAATTCCCACGAGATACCTACACACATCAGTGCAAGATTCAGGTCTGTTATTAAAGAGAAGATGAGAAAGCATCCAGAGCCTGAAGAAAAAAAAAAACAGATAAAGTCCAGTACAGAGGATGGGGAGTAAGAATTGCTTCAGACTCCTCAATAGCAATGTGAGAATCTAGAAGACAATGGAGAAAGAAAGACCTTTAAATCCTGACTGACAATTATTTTCAATTCTGTATCAAAACAGTCAGTCAAGAATGGAGAATAAATCAGACATGCAATAATTTTAAAAACAAATCTACCATATTCTTTTCCTTAGGAAGATACTAGAGATGTATTCCATCAAAATAAGCAAAGTAAATCAACAAAGGTGGAAACACGGGATTCAGAAGGCAGGAGAGAGGAGAGAGGCAACCCCATGTCCACAGCCAACAGGAGACTACCAGCCCCCTGGGGCAGGAGGACAGAGGTTGGGAACAAATAGATCATCTAAATAATTTATTGATGGAGTTAGAAAATGGGGTTTGTAAGATGTTTAGAACATTGGGGAAAAAAACAAATAAATGAAGAAAATCAAAACAAACAGTCATTCAAGAAAGGAAACCCCATCCAACTATGACTATTTGATTGATTCTTAGATGCACACTTCTACATTCTAATCAGTCTGAAATCAGGATGTGTCCTGCAGTCATAACCATCCTAGAATCTCTACTGGCCAGACTTTGGTCCTGATGTAGTTGTCATTGCTGTGCAGGTGTGGGCTTGGTCATCATTCTGGTGTTTTAACTGGACAGCAGCAACCCCTTGACATTTCAGTCATTTTGAGATCATATGAGGAAGGAATATGAATCTGGGTTTGTCAGAAAACCCCCCTAAGCGCATTCTGGTAAGATCAGGAAAGTGCCTGCTGGGGTTAATCCCTAGCACAACTGGGCGGGGGGGGGGGGGGGGGTGGAAAGGAGGAGGATAAAAAATGTGCCAGCATCCAAACTTGCAGAATGGGGTGAGTGGCTTGGGAGAAAGTCCTGGAGACCAAAGTGGCCCACTCTTTAGGAATACTACACCACTGATGCTGGGTAGTTAAAAAAAATAATAATAATCCTTCAACAAATAAGCAAAAAGGTAACAAAAAAGTGAACATTGACAGAAGTGATTCAGAAAAGACTAACACTGAATTTTAAGATTAAGGATACATAATTTTGCTTCCGTTTCTTTTCTTTTTTATGTACTAGATCAATATGTCATAAAAATACATGTCTAAATAAGAGCACTTTCAATAAGTTTACATTAAAAATTTAGATGATCAGAGAGTTTGACTTGCAGTGTATTTTCTTTCTTAATGGCTTATCTTCACTGAAATCTGGGGTACTAGCTGGTAGCAGTGAAAAATTTATAATAATGTGAATATGAACATTGACTTTAATTAACGTGAACTAATTGTAATGGGAGGATGGAAGAGGGAGGGAAGATGTATGTGCACTTTGGGACAGGATGAACAGCGATATGTAAGTGGGAAAAATCTTTTTTTTTTTTTTCTGGTACTGGAGATTGAACCCAGGGGCACTTAACCACTGAGCCACATCCCCAGCCCTTTTTTCTTTTTATATACAATTTTTTTAGTTGTAGTTGGACACAATACCTTTATTCGGTTTGTTTATTTTTATGTGGTGCTGAGGATCAAACCTAGTGCCTCACATGTGTGAGGTAAGCACTCTACCGCTGAGCCACAACTTCAGCGTCCCCAGCCCTTTTTATTTTTTATTTGAGATAGGGTCTAAGTTGCTGAGGCTGGCTTTGAACTTATGATCCACCTGCCTCAACCTCCTGAAGCACTGGGGGTAAAAACTCTTTATAACAGGGAGTGAAAAGATGAAATCTGAGACAGATACATTCTTTTGAGAAGTTTGTTTAAAATAAAATAGAGAACCAACTACAATAGGTAAAAGTTGTTGTCCTAGAGTAAGAGGGTTGGGAAATTGGAGGAGTATATGGCTAGGATTTTTATTGGTACATTTTTCATATATTTTTTAAAAACCTGTGCATCATTATTTTGGTTAAAATTTTTTTTTCAAATAAAATGACTCCAAAAAGCCCACTCTGTGCTATTATCATTATGAGTATACACAAATTCTCTTAGGGCCATTGGGCTAACTCTCAATAAAGGAATCTGATCACGAGAGGCTACTAGATGAAGCAGAAAGAGCTCTCTCAGAGCTGGAGTTCATTGTCTGGCTTTGTGTCTTGGGTTTGTGGCTCACTAGCTGCTGACCCTGGGCAAATTATGCACACTCTCTGGGTTTTGGTTTCCTCACCTTTATGTTGAGCAAAAGGCTAATGCAGTTTCACTGGCTGTTTCCAGGATCAAAGAGAGAGAGAAAAAAAGTCCCTAACACAATTTTTGTCCCATTGTTGAGCTCAGAGTGACTTAAACTTTTATTGTGCACCCACCATTGGGGTTCTTGACCCCTCGATATAAACATGCTGACCACTTCAATGTGCTCCTGTGCTCAGGGACCCCGGGACCCCAGCAAGGCCTGTTAGCCTGCACAGCCCTCCTGCAGCCACCTGCTGCCTGTATTTTCCCTGGACATCTGCAGTGGCTGTGAACATTGTTCTTCTCTATCCCCAGAGACTCCCAGGGTCCTCATGGATGTCCCTCTCCTCTCTCATCAGGCTTAGCCTGGGAGCTCATGGGTCCTGAGTCTTACATTGCTCAATTGTTTCTGTCCAGATACCAAGGGCCATTTGCTTTTCTCTAAGGTCTAGAAGAAGCAGGGGCCCAAGATCCAGGACTGGCATGGTGAGGTGAGCCCTCCCAGGCCGCTCACAGGCCTGAAGGGAGGTCTCACCAAATTCACCGCAAGCTCCTGAATCCAGGGTCTGCAGGAGTCAGTCTCCTTCTATCCCCCATAACAGCCATTTCAGGTATGGGTGGCCCAGCCTGGAAAGAAGAGAGCTGCGCTGTGGCTCCCTCTCCAGTCCCCTGCCTCCCTTCCCACCACCCAGCCCTGCAGCTCTGCAGGCGGGGACTAGAAGTATCTTTGTTAGCAATTAAAAAAAGCAGATGGTCTTTCCCCCTCCATTTGGATGGGAGAGCTGCTTGCTCAGGGCTCCCTGCCCCAGGACAGGTTGGCAGTTCATGTTTATACATGTGACTCAGAAATATATAATGAGCCCCACCTGGGCTATGGACATTGCCTGGATGAGAAGGGGATCACTTCTTGGAGAAAGTGGAGAGAATAGGTTTAGGGGGAATCCTGGCTGGGGTACGGCCCTCTCTCCTAATGCCTTGGGCACTTTGAAGTTGCATCCCCAAATACCTTACCCCAGGACAGTGTAAATGATGCCACAGGGAGCCAAGAAAAGAAGGGGTGGGGGGGCAGGGAGGAGCGGTTTAGGAAAGGGGATTCCTAGAGACAGCTCGAGGCCTCTGGCATTGGAGGAGGGTGGGGTTCCATTTCGGTTCTATAGCATAGGAGACGTAACTCTGAACAGTCACTTTGAACCTCGATTTCGTCTGTGGTTAAGGGGGGAAAATACACACTTTGAAGTGTTATAGTGGGAAAATTAAATCTCCCATCTTTAAGGATTGCAAAATCTAGCCTTTCAAGAGAGCCCCATGCCGTATGTCCCATTCATTTGGGGGACATCTGACTCATAATGGAGATACACTTTCCACCTCCCACTCAGGGCCTGGGGTGGTACTGAAGGTCCTTTTGGCCACTTACAGCTCCCTGCTGACCTGGGGAGAGTCTAGGACGGATCACAGGGAAGATAAAGCACCTAGAAGGTGCAGGACATCACCCCTGCCTCAGGCAGGCAGGAAGGTGTTGGGCTCAGGTGATGCCACTCGGCAAAGGCCTCTGGGTAAGGAAACCTGGCAACCCTCCCCGGCCCTTTGATGGGATGAGAGTAGCCCTTACCCTGCAGACTGCCCCCAACCCTTTCTCTGTTCACTCAGACCCTGACTTCTTCCTGCCTTTTGGGGGAGTAGTAGGGAGTGAGCCATGTGACATCTGTGTTCCTCCCACAGGCCACCGAGTGGGCCTCCAACGAGGACACACGCCGCTCTTGCCAAAGCAAGGGGAAGACGGAGGTATGTGGCCTTGGTGGTCCCAGGGGTCCTGTTTGGAGTTGGCAGGAGACTTATGGTTGTGTGAATAAAGGGGCCCGGTATGGGTGTGAGGTCACCTGCTCCAGAGGCTTGGATGAGCTGAGGGTTCCATGCACAGGAGAGAGGACAGCAGGGATGTCCACAGACACAAGCTGGATGTCACAGCAGCACGGATCTGGGGACAAAGTGCTGGAGAATGTTGGTTGGCATCTATGCCTTGGCGGGTGGAGGGGAAGACCCTCAGCACCACACCTGCAGAGCTGTGTCCTCACCACTCTCCTTCTTGCCTCAGGAGGAGTGTCAGAACTACGTGCGAGTCCTGATTGTCGCCGGCCGGAAGGTGTTCATGTGTGGCACCAATGCCTTTTCCCCTGTGTGCTCCAGCAGACAGGTGGGCAGCCCAGGGTGGGCGGGCAGAAGGTCTGTCACTTGGGCACACAGCCTTGGGATGCGGTTGCCAAATATAACAGAAAAAAAAAAAAACTAAAAAGGATTCCCAGACTGATTAGAATTTCAGGAATTTTATGATATCTTAGCATAAGTATGTCCTAGCAATATTTGGGACAAATTAGTACTATAAAACATTCATTCTTTATCTGAAATTCCAATTTAACAGGGCCTCCTCTATTTTATTGTCAGCCTTGCCTTGGAGGGTGCACCTGCTAGTCCAGGTGAGCTCCTGGCAGAACCTCACCCTCCGTGAGGGCCGCTCCTTCAGAGGGACTGTGGTGTGGGCAGTGACAAGGATGCTGAGGAGGGGAGAAGGCCAGAAGGACCAGGGACCTAGGAGGAAGCAGAACTCGGGGGTGGAAAGAACAGGCAGCCCCAGGCCTTAGGGAAAAGTGTCCCCTTCTTCCCATCGGCCCCAGGTGGGGAACCTCAGCCGGACTATCGAGAAGATCAATGGTGTGGCCCGCTGTCCCTACGACCCACGCCACAACTCCACGGCTGTCATCTCCTCCCAGGGGGAGCTTTACGCAGCCACAGTCATCGACTTCTCAGGCCGGGACCCGGCCATCTATCGCAGCCTGGGCAATGGGCCACCACTTCGCACAGCCCAGTATAACTCCAAGTGGCTCAATGGTAAGGCAGCCCCAGGACTGGTTCCCTCCTCACTCCTAACAGCTCTGCATGGGCTCACACTTGCTTCATTAAGGAAGAGGCCCAGGACAGGACAGGTGTTTGTCCAAAGACCAGAGCTTATTGGAGATGGGTCCCAGATGAAATCACAGATGTCCAAGGAACAAGAATAGATGGAGGGCAGGCTATTAGGGAAGAGAGAATGTAGGAAATGGCTAGTAAAAGTGGTTATGGGAAAGAACCTGTTGGGGGAGGAGTGATATGAACTTCCTGTTTCTTGGGATTGAATCCCTGCTTCTTCATTAACTAGCTGTGTTGCCTTGAGCAAGTACTTAACCTCTCTGTACCATGTTATTCTCATGTGTAATATAGGGATAATTCTCATACTTACTCATAAATCATAATGAGAATTAAATGGGTTAATCCACATAAAGTTCTTAGAATATTGACTGGCACCCACTGTACAGCTATTATTATGGCTGTGCTTTGTACTGGATGTGGAAACAAGATTATTAGAACCGTTGGGTCACCAAGCTGGTGGGAGGATAGTGTCAGGATGCCCATCTGGGAACACCAAAGTAGGTGAGTCTTCCCAACTCCGCCCTCTTCTTTCCTGCTGGCCTCACCCACCCCTGTTCCTCTCCCCTCATTCCCCAGAGCCAAACTTTGTGGCAGCCTATGACATTGGGCTGTTTGCATACTTCTTCCTGCGGGAGAACGCGGTGGAGCATGACTGTGGGCGCACCGTGTACTCTCGGGTGGCCCGCGTGTGCAAGAATGACGTGGGGGGCCGCTTCCTGCTGGAGGACACCTGGACCACATTCATGAAGGCACGGCTCAATTGCTCCCGCCCGGGCGAGGTCCCCTTCTACTACAATGAGCTGCAGAGTGCCTTCCACCTGCCAGAGCAGGACCTCATCTACGGGGTCTTCACCACCAACGTGTGAGTCCCTGCCCCTTGCCGCCCCTTGCCTGCAATGTCAGGGCCTAGCTCTGGCCTGACTTTGCAGCCTGGTGGGCTCAGACAGGCCCCTTGGAGTCCTTGTCTCTTCATGTATAAGGTGGGGTGGCTGTACCTGGTCCTCTGAGGATTCTGCGGTTTGCTGCCTCTGGAGTGGTTAGCCCTTGGTCTGGGTTGCTGAAAAGGGCAGGTTTGGGCCAGATGTGCAGAAAGCAAGAGGAGCCGGAGCATGACTCGTGGAGGGAGAACTTGCTGGTGATGAAAGAAAAGAATCCTGCCTTTGATGAGGGGGTGGTGGCCCTGGAGGGCCCAGTAGCCCCTCAGAGAGGCTCAGCAGAGATTCTCTACGGCCCCTCTCACCTTAGGACTCCATGACTTTGCTAAATCAGCCAGCAGTGTGTCCTGACAATCCCGCCATCACTTTCTGTCCAAACTGCACTGAAAACCACAGGCTGGGATTTGGAGTCCCTTTTGCTTCCTTTGGTGTGAGGAAGGGTGACCTTACAGAGATCTTGAGACCCTCCTCCTACTCCCAGTAGGCACTAACAGATCAGGTAGTTTTCACAGAGAGTGATGAATGGCACCAGACCAAGGCCAATATTTGCTGTAGTGGATGCTGTGCAGGGTTCTCTGTAAGGATGTCAGAAACCCGGGAGCCACAGAGGGGTTTCTGCTTGCAAGGTAGCAGGCCTTGCATGGGGACTAGGCTAGCCACAGAAATGACAGTCTGAGGAAATAAGCAGGGACAAAGGTAGAGAGGCCACCCAATCAGAGGCAGGAGGACAGGCATATAGCATAGCTCTTACTGGCTGACCAGGACCGGACTAGCTCTCAGCACCAGAGAGTGAGTAGCCATGAGCAGCTGGAGATGCATCAAGAAAAAATGACGATGTCAGTGTGGATTGTAAATAGTTTATTTATTGTGCATCTCCTCCATGCCAGGGGCTTGTCCCAGTGTGGACTGGATACCAGTGAGCACAGGCAGGGGTGGCTCTGTAATGTATATTAAAGAAATCAATTTGAATAGGGATATTGGGCTCCAAAGAGTACGAGCAATATGCAGCAATGCCTTTAACAGCAGGTAAGGCAGCACTAGGGAAGACTTCCTGTAGGAAGTGACAGGAAGTGATGGGATGAGAAGACCATTCCAGCCCCAGGGAATAATGCACGCAAAGTTTGGGGATGGGAAGAAATGTTTTAGAACTGAGCAGAGAATAGTGTGGCAGGTGCTTTGAGAGTAAAGGGGATAAAGACAAGAGAGGAGGCTAGAGGTAGGACAGGGATGATTCTGTCCTAAGAGCCTTGGAGACTAAGGGTTGCCATCTTTATCCTAAGGACAAGAAGTTACTGAAGGGTTTGAGGGAAGCAAGGAGAAAGTTGGATGTGCATTTTTGAAATGCTCGCTCTGGCACTTGCAAGCCAAATGAATTAGGAGCCTACAAAGGTTATAGGGAGACCGCCAGGAAGACAGCTAGAACCAGGCAGAGGTGGAAGGACATGGACACATTTGGGACAGGGACCAAGTGTAGAGACTAGAAGTGGTCAGGTTGGTGTAGCAGTGTCGTCTCTGTATTGTTCATCCCATGCTCATGGATATCTGTGATTCTGGGACCGAAAGGGTCTTAGAGATCATTTGGCTCAGGGTGTCACAAGTTCCAGCATAAACCAGTGGATTGGTAACCAGCTATTTAATAAATAAATAAAGCAGGTGCTGGGTGAGGTGGTGTACGCCTGTAATCACAGCAGCTCGGTAGGCTGAGGCAGGAGGATCACGAGTTCAAAGCCAGCCTCAGCAAAAGTGAGGTGCTAAGCAACTCAGTGAGACCCTGTCTCTAAATTAAATACAAAATAGGGTTGGGGGTGTGGCTCAGTGGTCGAGTGCCCCAGAGTTCAATCCCTGGTACCTGCTCCCCCTCCAAAAAAAAAAAAAAAAGCAGAATAGAATAAAATAAAAATGCTCAATATAGGGCTGGGGATGTGGCTCAAGCGGTAGCGCGCTCGCCTGGCATGCACGAGGCCCTGGGTTCGATCCTCAGCACCACATAAAAATAAAATAAAGATGTTGTGTCCGCCGAAAACTAAAAAATAAACATTAAAAAAATTCTCTCTCTCTTAAAAAAAAAAA